AGAACCCCTAACGCTCTACATGCCTAAAGGGCAACTCATCAATTATGATCATTCTAACTAGAGATCACTGTCTAAGCCTATCTGGATTGAATTTCCAAGTTGTAAGTGAAGATTGTGTGGAGGTGGCAACAATACCACTTGATTGGTCATGTGATTGTGTTTGTTGAAAAACTAAGATCCTTTTGTTTCTTATCCATCACATTCAAAGGGTACTTTTTACATCAACTTAAGTGATTCCGTAGACAACTAGTACCACTTTTACTTAGACATGCAAGCACATTCCCACAATAATCACATGTTGTTGTCCTGTCATCCATATTCTCACAAGGATTTACAATAAAGTGATCCCACATATTAGAAGTATTTTTTCGAGTATTAGAACTTACACGTTTGGGGACTCATGGTGGTCGTGGATCCGTGGAAGGTTGTGGGGCTACGATTGGGTTTGGAGTTGGATTCCTACTAGTTGGTGTCTTAGGATTCTCATCAGTATTAGACTGGTCAATAGCCATGGGATTGGATTTGGACATCTGCAACATCAACATGAAGAATATGTGAAAATGATTTATTAAACAACACTAAGTTGTAAAGTTAAAGAGGAATTTATATGTAATTAACATGATTAATCTTTATTATGTAGCACCTTCAAATGAACATGTATAGCTAATAATCAAAATAGATAATTTAGACATTATGGTGAGTGAATTACAATAATGATTTTTCTCTGAAAAGCAGTGATATGATGTTTCAAGTGAAGATAAGCTTCCTCATTTTAATTGATTAAAACTGAAGATAAGCTTCCTCATATATATAATGGTTCTACGATTCCTAAATGTCTTTCTTAAAAGCTCAATCCCATGATACTGTATTTATCTCACTACAACAAAAATGGCCTACGGTAACATGCAAAAAGTATTACCGTAGGTAATTCGTAGCATTTATAAGGATGCTATGACAACCCATGTTATTAAAAAGCAGACATTGATAACACTTTTTGTATGTTACTAATCATTTCAGTAACTATCATAAAATGCTATTGTTAAGTATATTGTAGCACTTATTCGTAGTTACGAATGATTTTTGGTAACACTGCATAAATGCTATAAATAAGTTTTCTGTAACATTCTTAACCTATTACAGTTTAATTTTCTATAACATTATGAAATGCTATAAATAAGTTTTCTATAACATTCTTAACTTGTTACAGTTTAGTTTTCTGTAACATTCTCAAAATGCTATAAATAAGTTTTATGTAACTTTCTTAACATGTTACAGTTTAGTTTTCTATAACATTCTCAAAATGCTATAAATAAATTTTCTGTAACTTTCTTAACATGTTATAGTTTAGTTTTCTGTAACATCTCAAAATGCTATAAATAAGTTTTTTTTGTAACATTATTAACCTGTTACAGTTTAGTTTTCTGTAACATTGTTAAAATGCTACAGAAGAGTTTTTAATAACATGTTAAAAGTGCCATCAAAGTATCATTCATTGCATTTAGTAAATGTTACAAAATTATTTTCCATAACATTTTGAAAGTGTTATCAATCTGTCTGTTATAGCATATATAAAACTGTTATAGTTGTTATTTAAATAATACAAATTATAAACAATGATACACTAATTTTCCAAAGAACATTTCATTGATGGTGAACCTTCATATATAAAAAGTTTCCATATATGCCTAATAAATAGGCACCCAACATCCTTTACATCCATAAAATCTAATATGCTTCATATATCATATCACATTTTGTAACATATAAACCTTCATATACAAAAAGTTTTATATATGCCTAACAAATATGCACCTATCATTTTTACATTATAATACCTAGATGATTGGAAAATTAACTATGACCAATAGTTAATACATTCCAATCATTCAAAAAATTCTAACAACAAAAACCATCATGCATACCATCTTCCATTCCAAATTGTGCTTTACCAAAAAAGTATTCTTGCATTTTCACAACCTACAAAACCATTAATACAAAAAAATCTTCAATTCCCATGTTATTCTCAAAGATGACAACACATATATATTGTAAATTCAAGAAAAGATTAAGACAAAAACACCCCAAATATTTAATGCAAAAGTAAGAGGAAAAGAATATGTTTAAATCTTCAACTTCATAATCACTAGTTCTAAAAAATGGCATCATGCAAGTTTAAATATTCAACTTCACAATCACTAGTGCAAAAATGCCAACTGCAATTTTACAGTTTGCAACCTGCAGTCTATAAACTACAGTCTACAATTTGCAAACTACAGATTGCATATTGCAGTTTGCACACCATCAAGAATCTTTCTTCACTCAATTAAATAACAAAGAATACATTATTATGTTATAGTGCAAAACCTTGAAAGTTTTACAAAGACAGTAGAGTGACCTACTTAGATATATTTCATGCCATGCAACACAATTTAAATAAAAATTAAAAACTTCTGAAGATAGATCAAGTTCTATACATAAACTGCGTGTTCTTACAATTAAAACATCGAATACATATATACCTCAACATGAGAAAATTTAGATACTAAGATAATGCATACCTCACCAGCAACTACACTAATGACATGAAGAGTATAATCTTGCCCAGAATTTCCTGCATCCAATAATTTAAAAGAGCAACAGTAAGTTTCTAAGTTATACCTCAACCTCAATAGGAAATAATGAAGCCCAAACCGTATTTGAACTATACAGCATATAAATAAAATACACCATTTTACATGGGCAAAGTAATGATATTGCAATACTATAATGTAGAGTAAAAGGAAAAAAAAAAACACAAAACAAAATATTCTCGGAAGTGAAACATAAGTATTTGATCATACGGTTAGTCAAACATTAATAAGAGGGAACTTGAATTATTTTCTCCCAGTAAATGAAGAAAAAGAGAAAAAAAGTCTCACTTGCAACATAAACCAACTTCACAGGTTACTAGACTCAAAACAAAAACGTATTAGGTACCTAAAATGGAAAAGAAGTTACCTAAAATTGTTTTCAAAAAGGTAGGACAACTTTGTCAGAAGGCCAAGCAACTGTACTCTCAACAACTTCTTCAACAAAAACCATTTCGGATGCAGACCTCCACAAAAACGCATTAGGGACCTTGGCTATATCAATCCAAACTCTCATGTCATTAGGTCCAATAGGAACATGATGAACAAGTACTTTTGGATCATCTGATGAGAAACGTCCTTCAGCCACTACTTCAGTAGACCCACTCCAATCAAGCAACTTGAATTTAGTTTTGTGGGGGATTGTTTTCACAATCTATAACACCAAATGGATACAATAAAACAATTTCCATTCTCAAATGAAATGACTAAGGGAAAACGTATACATTTATTGACACATAAACATCTTGATATAAAAATAATCTAACCGATACATCTTTGGATTCTTCAACTGTTTGTCTTTGACCCTGTAAAGTTCATGTGAGACTATGAGAAAAAATACAAAGTATTTATGAAATTAGAGAAAAGGTTTTAGTGATACTAGCCTGATTTTGATTCAAAGCTAGGTTGAGCAAGTCCTTCATATGATTCATTTCCATTTTCATCTCACCTTGCTGTTGTGCCATTTGAGCTATAAGGCTGTCCCTTTGCACTATTATGGACAATTGTGTAAGAGTTACACCCTTTCCAAGTCCCTTCACATGTCCACCTGTATCAGGACCTAATACCTTTGTTATAGCACCTTCTCTCAAGTTTGTAGGAGTTGGCAAACTTGAATCATTACCCATTTGTTGTAACTTTTCCTATAAATGCAAATAACACAACATCAAGATTTTTCTAATTATATAATACCATATATATAACAAAGTACTTATAATTGCTTCTGCAGTCTTGGTGTTGATTGGCTCACCATTCTTTTTCTTGTGAGCTTCAATCCACACCTCAACTCTAGACACGACCCGCTTCCCAGTTTTCTTTTTCTATCAAAAAATGAAAATAATCATAAATGTTTATACTATTTTTCAATTTAAAACTACAATCACATAACAAAGAATGAGACATTACTATATCCTCAGTCATGCGAGCATAACCCCTTCGACCACCTGTGTAGGAAGTTTGTTTTTTCCTCCTATTTTTCATTTCTTCACTTTTACCCTAAAATGACCATATGCAACTACATCAACAATACACATATGCATATATAATATAATGACCATATGTGTGCAATGTTATAATTACCTTAAACTTTGGCCCTAATTTTTCTTCTACAAACTTTTTCCACTCACTAATACTCTTGATGTTATTAGGTTTGAGGGCCATTCTTTCCTCTTCATTTTTAGCCATCTTAATGTTACTCACCAGCCTAGACTTTGAAGTTCTCCAAAGAGCACTCATCTCCTTCAACACATAGTGTTTCTACCATTCCTGATCCAACTTATATCTTGCCTGAGAGGTATAAGTAAATTGTTAAAATAAGCACCAAATATATATGTATATATAAACATGCAGATTCATACATAACCTGAACACATTTCCATAATTTCTCTCTCATGTCAGAAGGAAGCTTTCTCCAATCAGGAATTGTAAAAGGTATAATTTCTCTCCCAAGAGGTCCCAAGAATGAAGATAGCTTAACAGATTCTTCATCAATAGGCTGACCTTTGTCATTGAACTTGATCTCAATCCGATTATCACCATTCAAAGCAATGGTCTTCATTTTAGTTGGACCTCTTTTTTTCTTAGGCACGGTTGTGGAATCCATAATTTCTTATCTTTGTCTCAATTCCTTCTTAACAAATCAAAAAAAGTTAATTATTAAGAATCTAAAATAACATTAAAATTACAATTAATTATTAAAAAATTAATAAATGCAAAAAGCCCCATTACCTATAAACAAGGTGCAACTACAATTACACGATATACAATATGTAAATGAATAGATAACTAGCTTCAATCCACAAAATAAAAAGTAATAAACAGTGTACATAAAAGAATTGTAGTTCTGTTTAACTTAAATTTACAAAAGTACATAAATCACACCAATAGACCTTCACAATCCTCTATCACGTAACTAACTTCCTCACTATCATCATAAATGTTCATATAGCGTGTTGTAACATATTCTGGTCTACTAGTCAAATCCTGATCCTCATTATACATTTCCAGCTCATAGTAACCTCTCGGTGGTGCCTTCAACACAATGTACCAACTAGGTGAATCGATTTCTCTAGAGTAAAACACTTGTTTTGCTTGAGATGCTAGGAAAAATGGCTCCCTTACATATTGATTCTGACTTTGGTGCAAATTGACAAGTGTAAAACCATCTTCAAACTTAACTCCATGTCCAGCATTCGCCCAATGACACTTGAATATTGGAAGCTGAAATTGAAAGTAATCTAATAAGATAATTTCTTTTATCACCCCATAGTATGCAACTACATCAACAACTTGTGAAGTGTCTTTTGCACTTGCTCGACATATTGTTGTCGCCTCAATTGAAACACCACTATTTTGTGTTGATTTGTCAACATCCTTTGTGTGAAACCTTTGTCCATTTATAACATAACCATTATAACTCATGGCATGATTCCTTGGACTATTTGCAAGCCACTTTAGTGTTTCTCCATCCTCACATATGGAGGTTAGGAATGAAACCTATACAAACAATTTTAAAAAGGTGTTAATATTATTTATGAGATGACTTACAAAGTATTTAGCAATCATTCAAAGTATAATACCTTTTCTTTCAACCATGTTGCAAAATTATTTGCATGGGTCTTTTGGAGTAAGTTGTGATTTCTCTCAAGATTCTTGTTGGATTGCTTTAACTCTTCCAAATGCATCCTAACATGAAACCAAGTAGTGCAAAAGTCATATACAATGTAAATAGTTATCTAAATTGGAAATCTAGAGATAAATACTTACTGTAGAAATGGTTTGGTCACTGTTGTGTTAAATAACACATAACTATGTGCTCGCTCTAACACTTCATCACTTAATGACATTGACTTTCCTCCCAAGATTGGATGACCTTCTAGAATTACGTCAGAAAAGAAATCTTGATTACGAGCATTTTGATCATTTCCTCCAAAATCATGTTTAAAATACCCACTATAGAAAATAACAGTTTCATCAACAAGATAACATTCTACAATAAAACCTTCAGGTCATGCACGGTTTTTAACATATCCTCTGAGAATCTTCATGTACCTAAATAAAAATATATCACATTAAATTAATGTCTTTAAATAATAGACGAATTTAAACGAAGATGGGTTTAACGATTGATCACCTCTCAAACGGATACATCCATCGATACTGAATGGGTCCACCTAGTCGTGCTTCTCTTCATAAATGAATTGAAAGGTGGATCATGATATCAAATAATGACGGGGGAAAGAATCGCTCAAACATACATATGGTTTCAACAACTTCATCTTCTAGTGCAACCACAACTTCTCTATCAATAACTCGTTGACATAATTTATTAAAAAATGCACATAATCGCATAATTGCCATTCTTGGTCCCTTGGGTAACAAACCTCTTAATGCTACCACGAATAATTGTTGTATTAGAACATGACAATCATGCGATTTAAGACTTGTTATCTCTTGCATTCTTCAATTGATACACAATTCCCAATGTTTGAGCTATACCCGTCATGTAATTTTAGATTAAATAATCTCTTACAAAAATTTTCTTTCTCCGTCTTTGATAACGTATGTGAAGCCGCTGGAAGGTATGTTCTACACCCATGATCTTTTGGATGCAACTCATGACAAACTCCCATATCTTCTAAGTCTTTTCGAGCATTGATTTTGTCTTTTGTTTTTCCACTGATGTCAAATAATGTGCCAATTATACTCTCACAAATGTTCTTTTCAACATGCATAACATCCAAATTATGGCGTAATGGCAACTCCTGAAAATAAAATTTGCAAAAAGTTATAAGCAATACAAAAATCATATAAAAATTGTGGATAACAACATAAATAAAATTCTACGAAACCAATTAGATTTTCCTTCCAATATGGCAACTCGAAAAAGATAGATATTTTTTTCCATAATGGAGTAGCTTCGCAATCTCTCTTCCTTTTCTTCTTAGAACTCTTTCCCCAATCATTCTCAAAATCCTTAGGAGTAGACAAAATTTTTGCACCATTCGTGATCATAGGGCTTCATCCCTTTTCTTCCTTTCCATCAAACCAAGCCTTTTTTTTTTTTCTAAATGGATGAGTAGATGATAAAAATCTCTTATGACCCATATAACAGAATTTCCTACTAAACTTTAACCAATGAACATTTGTCTTGTCACCACACAATGGACATGCTACTTTTCCCTTTGTTGTACATCCAGAAAGATTTCCATAGCCTCGAAAATCATTTATGGTCCACATCAAAATAGCCCTTAAATTAAAACAAGAATTGGTGTACGAATCATAAACATTTACACCATTATTCCACAATTCTTGTAGATCTTCTATCAGAGGCTGCAAATAAATATCAATGTCCTTACCCGGTTGTTTAGGTCCTGGAATTAATAAAGTCAACATGATATTTTCTTTCTTCATGCATAACCAAGGCGGCAAATTATATGTAACAAGCATTACAGGCCAACAACTATAAGTTGTGCTCATGTTTGAAAAAGGATTAAAGCCATCAGCAGCCAAGCCAAGTTTAAGATTTCTAGGATCTTCTGCAAAACAGGCCATTTATAATTAACCAAGTCCCATGTTACAGAATCCACTGGGTGACACATCTTGCCATCTTCACTTTTGTGTTTGAAATGCCACTGTAATTCTTCCGCCATTTTGGGTGACTTGAACATCTTTCTAAACCTTGGTATTATAGGAAGTATCTCAAAGCTTTAGCCGGGACACCCTTCCTAATTTTCTTCGTTCTTTCATCTACCTTCCATCTTGAAGAGCCACACTTTGGACAACTTTGCAAGTTTTTTATTTCTTTCCTAAACAAGCAACAATCATTCGCACAAGCATGAATTTTGTCATACCCCAAATCAAACTCCTTAATAAATTTTCTCACAGAGTAGACTGATTTGAGAATCACATTATGCTCTGGTAACATGTCTCCAAGCATATCTTAAAGGCCATCAAAACTGTTGTCAATCCAACCATTCGTAACTTTGTGTTTATATAAAGCTACAATGGCAGACATTTTTGTATACTTGGCACAACTAGGATATAAAGGAGTTTCAGCATCTTCCAATGATTGCGTGAAATCATTGTCTCTTCTCTCTTCTGATGTTGATGCATAATAATTGGCTCCCATATATGCACTAGTAATTAAGTTAAAAGCATCTGAACTCTTTACTTGAGTAACAGTTTCTGTAATATCTTCTATTTCACCATGATGGAACCAAATTGTATATGTAGGATCCATTCCTCGTATAATCAAATGCTCATAAACAATGTCTATACCATGATGAGTCAAGTTGTGACAATCTTTACAAGAGCATAAAATCTTTGCTTCATAGCTTGCATTCTTTTCAGCCATCCTGACAAAGTCCCATGCATCTTGAATGTATGCATCCGTAGCTCTATCAAAACAAGAAAAAAAAAAAAAAAAAAACCTAAAACATCTAAAACCTTGTTAAGGAAAATCATTATTACTTCATACACATATGGAAGTGTGTCTTTTAATCTTTTTCTTACCTATTAAAAAAAAAAAAAAAAAAACCTAAAACATCTAAAACCTTGTTAAGGAAAATCATTATTACTTCATACACATATGGAAGTGTGTCTTTTAATCTTTTTCTTACCTATTTAGATGCACCCAATCCTTATTCATCATCATCATTACTTAATCTACACAATTATTAAAAGCCAAACAATACATGAATAATTATAGGTAAACATGGCAAGAACATTATGAAAACAACGAAACATGAGTTGAATGTAACCAACATAATATGCAAATTCCATTGAACAATACAATAATTCTTACTCTCCGAATACTTAATGGTTATAGCTTATTAACTCCAATCCTTCTTGTTGCAATAATCTTTAATTCCCACTTGATATGGGACAAATTTCGATCTGCACAAACGGAAACACTATTACAATTTGATAAATACAATAAATTCATATTCAAATATGCACATGCAAACTGTTTGAGACTTCGCTTTTTGCAAATTGCAGTTTGCAATTTTTATAAACTGCAGTCCCCATTTTTGCAAGCTGCAATTTGCAAACTGTAGTCTGCATTTTTGTAAACTATAGTCTACATTTTTGCAAGCTGCAATTTGCAAACTGAAGTCTGCATTTTGATGTGTTATTACTACAACATGCAAAAATAGCAAGTGCACTAGTCGCACAAAATAATAAAGTGATGAGTGAGTATAGTTCCCACGAGGATTGGTTGCTAAGCACTAATTTTCCTAAGTGTTTTTCAAGTTGGAGCAATCGAATTTGTTTGGATTAACGGGAGAGAATTAAACTAAAACTAAAACAAAATATGGTAAGTGTTAAAAACTAAATTATGAAAGCAAGAATTAAAAACAAGGGTAATATCATTTTAGACAAACGGGTAGGGTTTTGACTTCATTCAGACTCTATGAGTTAAGCCTACGGATTATGCTATTTCCACATTCACATGCACTGATTGTAAATCGAATTCTCTAAGTTATAAAGCATACCTTCTCAGGCTATGTTTTCCTACTTTTTCCTATTAAACTTCCGCACCCAACAAATTGAAGATTAATAAGTCCAAGTTCATTAAGCACATGGAATCCTAGATTGATTTCATTGATTCTTAAATCTATCTCTAGCCTTCAATACTACAATGGTGATTACCCAAGAAGCTTAACACGATTTATTTCTCAATCTCACCATGTTCAACAAATAAATTCCATTGAAAATAGAATAACCACACAATCTATGTACTAGAATATGGAAATAACAGTAATCAATTCATTAACCCATAGAAATCCGAACTTAATCAAAACCCTAACCCAAAATGGGTAGTTCATAACTAAATCAAAATACACAGCAAGAAAAACAACAAACACAATGTTCAACATATTGAAATGCAGAGAAAAGAGTAGAGATCTCCCCTAGTTGAAGAATCCACTAGATTCAAGCTCAATTCTTCTCTCTAAATATCAAAATCAATTCAAAACTGAATGAGAACATACGAAAACTGGATCACCCTACGAAAATGGTAAAGTTTTTCTTTTATACCTCGCCCAAAGACCTAAAACTTTCCTAAAATAAAACTGTGTGTTTTGGAGAAACTAAAATTCACAGACTTTGCCATGGCAAAGAAAGAGTTTCGCCGCGGCGACGAGGTAAAATGGAATCTTGTGCTTAACAGTTTTCGCCACGGCGAACCTTCATGAAGAATTCTGAATTTACATAATTGCCTTCCGCTTGCTTCTTTGCTTGAATCTTCGATCTTCGATGCTCTCCCATGGGAACAAGCTTCATAGTGCTTCACTCTGCTTCAGAACTCTCTCAACTTCTGAGATCCGCTTACTTCTGGGTCCAAAAACTCCAATTCGCTCATTATTTGCGCAAAATGTCCATTTTGGCCTGAAACACAAAATGTAAAGACTTAAGTAGCAATTCAGTCAAAAATGAACTAAGAAGTATCTACAATCTGGCCAAAAAGCCTAATAAAAAAGTATAATTCTCGGATTATCAAATACCCCCAAACTAAAGACATGCTCGTCCCCGAGCATCAGGTACAAAACACAAAGAAAGAAAAATAACAAACGCCCAAAACAATGCAAAATAACAAAACTGAAAATAAAATAAAACATTAAACTCAACTCAACACAACGAACTGCCTAGAATTTAAACAAGTCTCAAAGATCGTTGAAAAATTATTACTAGAAAACTGTTCAACACTCCAAGAAGTTATAAGTTGCATTGAATATCTTCTCTATTGTTCCTCGAGTAGGTGATCCCCACTTCAATCCACATTCCAACTTCCCGGATTATTTTATACAGAAATGCAAATTTTATCAAATGGCAGCAGACTCCATAAGCCTAAGTATCGAACTACTCTCCACTAATGAGGATTAGACATTACTAAAGATCAGAAGGTCTTTAGAGGCTTGTAACGTTAGGCTCGGTTAGTGGGCTTAAAAGAAATGGACAGGATTAACAAAGCAAGAGAATTCAGTTTTCTTTAAGCAAACATCAAGACTCAAATCAACTTCTACTTTCTTCCTCAACCACCACTACAAAGTCAACCAATTTATAACCCTCAAGCATGTGCACTTCACATTTTTTTTTTTTCAACTGCATAGAAATTCTCATTTTTTTTTTTTTTTGCAATAATCATTTTATTGAGGTTAATTACCCCTTTTATTCTTCTTGCCCTTCTCACGACCGCCAAACTAATCTTTTAGTTCATTCACACAACTCTCCAAGCTCTTTGTGTGTGCATTAGGTTTAGAATTCTCTTAAAGGTTGCGGACGTGTTTAGGGTGAAAGGTTCGGGCATTATTGGTTGCACAAGGACACAAAAAGGGACAACGATGATTTCATAAGGTTCAAATGGGTAACTAGGGATAGAATTCATGATCGGCTGGAAAGGCTCAAACATTCCGAAAAAAAAAACGCCTAAATCACTTCCTCAATAATGTCTATTCCTAGAATTTTGCCTTAAGCATTTCTAAATTAGGTTCTAGAGTCTACCAACATTATCAAGACTTTACCTAACCACATGAAATGAATCTAAGCATGCCGAAATAATGAAAATGGTGGTTGAACCACTCAAAGAACCTTAAGCAAAATTCAGTTAATCAACATAAACTTGAAGCAATGTTTAACATTTCTCAACAATAAAATCCCAACAACCCTGTTCTCATCATAGATTTATACAATTCATCATTGGCATACACAACAAAACGTGAAAATAAAATAAACACAAATAAAAAATTTTCAAATTTTTCCTACCCCCAAATTAAAGATGACATTGTCCCCAATGTCACATTATACACAATTTAAGAATAGAAAAACAGAAATCTACAAAGGTGCGAGATAGTTCCCTGATTAATCCATGAAGTTGAAGTTTCACTCAATAGCATGCACACCTGGTCCTTAGCTTTTTCATCACCAAATTCTAAAAAAGAATTGAAAAACTATGGTGTCCATTGTGTTAGAAAAGTTCACTGACTAATGTGAAAATATTACAATCCTAATTCGCCTTTTCAACTATTAGGAAACAAAAACAAAATTTAAACAATCCAGAACAAAAAAGCAAATTAGTTCACTGTTCGAAATGAAAATACAAAAACAACTAAAACAAACAAAAATAAAATACAAAAACAGCTATTCAGGTTCATTCTTCGGCCTTCTCTTCTCCCTCGGTATCATCCTCTTCTGAGTTGGAGCCCATCCATTCTTTTGAATCCCAGTTAGCCTATTAGAATTCTGAAGTATCAACGTTGAGCTTGGTGAAGCAACTGTTCTGCATGTCATACATCATCTGGGTCTGCTCTGCCAGCCAATCCTAACGTTTTGCCATCTGTTTCATCTAACCCATCATCTGCTGCATCATTTCCTTCATAATGGCTATGGAACTGGATGATGTGGCAGTGACTTGTGTGGTTCTCTGTCGTTTTGTCCTGGCACTGGGTTGCTCGCTAGCTGGACATTCAAGATGCTTGTGATAATAGTCTGAGTCGAGAACTGGGGCAGTATGGATAAGTGGCTCATCATCAGTTGCCTTGACTCCTGCTTGA